ACATCATAGCACCTATCTCTGCACATTCTTGCCCGTTTGTGGACACTGCGCCCTTGTAAACAGAAAATATCGTTTCGTAAGAAAATTATTCGAAATAGCTGCGACAATAAATATAGTTAACAACGTTTCTTTTGCCAGCAGTAGCGAATAAGAATAAATATAACACACGGATAGATTTCACACGCTTCTTTCGTTCAATGATTATCTTACATCATACTTTACCTTTCTGTACACTCCAAAATACGAGGCACCATTCCACTTGTCCTCATTTTCTGAATTATTAACAAGAAAAACGATTACTATCGTTAGGATCACAGCTAGAATTACAACGAGGCTCACCCCAATTATTAGAACCTTCTTCTTGTTTATTCTGCATGAAAAGGTATTGACGTGTTAATTTTCCAAAATAATTTAAAACGAAAATATCTCGAAAAAAACAGCTTTGATAAGTGATTTGATAGCATGTTTATGTTTATTGCCGAACCTGATAGGAACTGAACGCGCTTGTCTTTTTGATTTAAATTGACGGAAGACAGATGCACAATCACTTCCAGCTTACGTCGATCGTTACGATCGCATATGTGACACGAAATTGTTATCACGTGCATACTGTGTGTACTTGCCAGATTAAATAATTTATTTCGTTATACTTAGTATTTTATATTTTAACAGTTAATTATATTTCTCTACTTATCAAATTAAATATTTATTTCGTCGCTCATTTTTACATTTGTTAGCTCGGTATAATTTATTAAATTACATACGTATATAGATACATGTTATGTTTTATAAATTCTAACAGATGGTACGAATTATTCACTAGTATTCGCTCTATAATAACGAAAGCATGAAAAGCATAAATTTTAAAGATCAATTGTTACATATTAGAAATAAAATGATAACGGCCGATTACGAATGAAGATTTAATATCAGAGCACTTGAATATGTAACAATCGTTTAGTCTTATCTATTTTAATCCATATTATCAATGAGATTTATCAATGAGGTATTAAATAAAATAATGTAGAATTACTTATACTGGTGTACAATGACGTTTATGTATTTTAATCTTAAAGATTTAATAATTCTTTCATTCGTTAATAACTGCCTAACTGATAAAAAATATATAGCTATCGGAATTGATTTACTCGACGATTTTGATGACGAAATATTTGAAAGTTTGAAATTATTATTCTGAAAATGTACGAAATGTTTGTTACGTATACTTCAGTGACGATACATTTGACAGAGCTCTGATATAAAATGCAAACATTCTCTGAAACACAAATATCCTGTTTAATATATTATCTCTGGTATTTAGCACATAAAACTTGTATACACTGTTACTTAATTTTATCATAAAATGTAAACCATATGAAAAACGGCATTATATAATCATTGGAAGTAAATAACACTTTAAAACATTTAAACATGTCGAAACTCTAGTAAATTACACCATCATCAACAATCACCGATCGTAACACTTTCAAGTTAGAACTAGACATTAGAAATCGTCTAACAATTATACTCTACCGAAGAATTTAATAAGTTATCAATAGAAATATGAATAAAAAACGATTTTATTGAAGAGAAATCATTAGTAAAGGATGGATAAGCAAAGCGTAAAAAATGAAGAATTTTTACCAACCCGATCATGTTGCGTGAACAAACGTGGTAGAATAGAGCTCTCACCTTGACTAAATGTTTCACCAAGCCGATCACTGCCTTTTATATTAGCTACATTACAGATTCTATTTATCCATCCCCACTACTTCTATACATTTACAATATCCACTGCTTCCAATTTCTTCGCTTATTTTCAAAGCAATATCCCACTGTTTTTTTTAAAGAATTTATCAGTATCGCCTAATCCATTGCATCTTGCAGCACGACGCGATAAAATATCGAATATTTTAATTCACATTATAAGTCTTTCTTTATTTATCGTTTTATAATATCCATAAAATATTTATTATTAAACCAAAGCTTTAAAATATGCTGTACACATTCTTCATTTAGTCTTACAATTAGATGTAAAAAGGTTTTTTAAAGATGCGATTCGTTGCGTACATACTTGGATACTTATCTCTTAATTGTAAAAGTCGATATCTTGACAAGTTTTAAACAGAATATATTATGTTGTGAAATAGAAGCGATATATCTCAATTCAAAATATAAAAATTGCTTTTTAAGATTCACTTATTTTTCTTAATAAAAAAATAGAATTTTAACTGTATTTGTTGTTCTGTGTTGAATTATCTTTTATATTAACAATTATTGTTCCGAAAATAAAGTAAATTATTTATTTAATATCGCGTAACAATTGCATTTACGTTAAAAAAATGCAAGCAATACGTAAAGGACCTCATTGCGACGTATTACCCTCTACCGGTAAGAAATGAAATCAAGCCTCCAGATGAATAGCGATCATTTTGAAAAACGGCGAAGTCATTTTGTGCTCTAAGCAAGTGAGGTGTGCTTTTTAAAAGATTGGAAACAATGACATCAAGATACGATAGAGCTATTACAGTATTTTCACCAGATGGGCATTTGTTGCAAGTGGAATATGCACAAGAAGCTGTTAGAAAAGGTTCTTCTGCGGTACGATGCTATATTTCACCTAACCTCTTTTGTGTTTTCGGTGAAATTGCATTACTTTCTGTATATCTTTTGCATTAAATTCATTTTACTTTATATGACATGTTACAGAATAACTTTTAAATATGTTGAAACGTTAGAATTAGAAATCAAAATGATATATACATTGTATAATGTAACTTTTTGAAAAATGAACCTAATGAATTCTAATGAATCATACTTGTTTCAGGTTGGCGTTCGTGGTAATGATGTAGTCGTTTTAGGAGTTGAAAAAAAGTCCATTGCAAAACTTCAGGAAGAACGAACAGTTCGTAAGATATGTCTCCTAGATGAACATGTTGTAATTGCATTTGCAGGTTCGCTTATAAATATTACATTTAAATAATTACAGTACAATTTCTGTAAACGTACTCTATCCTAATAAATTTTAAAAGTTACATTTTTTTTTCCTAAGGCTTGACAGCAGATGCAAGAGTTCTTATTAATCGTGCACAAATAGAATGTCAGAGTCACAGATTAACTGTTGAGGACCCAGTTACATTGGAATACATAACTAGATATATTGCAGGTAAAATAATAAATTTTATTAATTATACATTCAGTATGTGTATGCTTATAAAGTAAATGTGTTAATCATTTTTAGGTTTGAAACAGAAATATACACAAAGTAATGGTAGAAGACCTTTTGGAATATCATGCCTTTTAGCTGGATTTGATTATGATGGTGTTCCACATTTATATCAGACAGAACCTTCAGGCATTTATTATGAATGGAAGGTATGTTTTATATGAATATTGCTTTGTTAATAGCAACTAAAAGGAAGAAAATGTATCTACTTTTTCTTTAAAGGCAAATGCAACAGGTCGAAATGCCAAAACAGTACACGAATTTTTACAAAAATATTATACACCAGAAAAAGTAGCAACAGAGGAAGGAACAATAAAATTAGCTATTAGAGCTTTACTAGAGGTAGTACAATCAGGAAGAAAAAATTTAGAAATTGCAGTAATGCGACGTGGTCAACCTTTACAGGTGCAAACTTCAGAATTTATTTATAATATTCCTCCAAGTAATATATTCTAACCGTATTCCTTATGTTATAGATGTTAGATCTAGATACCATTGGACAATATGTCACCGAAATTGAGAGAGAAAAGGAAGCAGAAGCTGAAAAGAAAAAGCAAAAGAAGTGATATCCTTACATGAGATTACACTTATTATTCGTTTATTGGTATTTTGCATAAAATAAATATAAAATACATGGATAAGAAAAAAACAAAATTTTAATATTCATTTTATTTGTACTTTATTATTATGTCTATAGAAACTATATGTACATTCACACATGTTTTTAAATACATAATTTAAAGTTCATACCAGTACCACAAAAAATTAAATTTTCCTGTGTTTTTTATGGGTGATACAACTAAAATTAATAATAAATCACATTTAAATTAAATTGCACGTTTTAATGGTAATATAGAGTGCAATTTTTTTAGTCACATTTTAAAATCAATAGCAGAAATATAAAATTCAATGTGTATACCGTGGAATTAAAGATGTACCACGATGATTAAATATTTGAAATGATGGAAGATTTCTTAAAGTTTCCCAAGATTTGTTTTCTAAATCAACAACTGCTCGAATTTCTTTAAAATCACCTGCAATATACATTACTCCGTACATAACCATAAATAAGCTAATAATTCCTTGTATTAAGATCTATAACAAAAATATAATACCAATTACATATTTCCTACATATCAATTTTGTATATTATTTAATACTTACATCAATTGGCAAGGTGATAAACTCTTGTTCTGTTATACGTAAATATGATCGATCTATAAATTATATTTGATAAAAAAATTATTTAAAATTTGATCAATTTAACCTAAAAAATTATGACGATGGTACGTACGTTGGGCAGCTGAGTATGCTGTATGTAAAATTGATATTAATCCTATGAATGTCATAAATTTATGAAAAGCCGTTGCAGGCATTTTAATATTGTAATAAATTAGAAATTTCTAACAATGACAATGTTTATTTCAGTAATTCTCATGTCATCTGTATCACAACTATAATAAACAAGGCTTATTTTCACACACGAAATAAATTGATAGTTCTATCTACAAATTGTCTTTATTTATACCGCGTTTCTAATTACTAGATTTTTGAGGATTCTATTTAAATAGGATTAGTTTACTTACTTTTTAATATTTTGTAAGCACGTATTAATTATTTATTAATGAACAAGTAGGCTACTAAAGTATGGCAAAATATCAAACAATATAATGTGAATTTACTGCTCAAAAAAATCACCGAAAATTATCATCAGAGTATGTGTTCATATGCTATTGTATTCACAGTAAATAGTCTGATGAAGTGATCAAGGTAGTATTCTGCAAAGGTTGATCGCTCTCTCTGTTTATGTATATATACGTTAAAAATGTTTGTTTATAGTTGATAATTGTCCCAATAATACTAAAAATCATGGATTATGAATTTAAACTAAAAACTGATACAGATCGAACAAAGGTCGAAGACCTTTTCGAATTCGAAGGATGTAAAGTTGGAAGAGGAACTTACGGGCATGTCTATAAAGCTCGCAGAAAGGAAGGGTTAGTGATTCTAACCTAACATTGAAGATTGCATAAAATTTAATAGTATTGTTTTATACCAATAAAAGAAACCTTTGATTTTCATAAAATGTATAAATCTACAGAAAAGATTTTTTGTTAATAGGAAATTGTAGTTTTTACTTCAATGTTTAAATAAAACTAATTCTTATACATATTTTGTATAGTTTATAGAATTTTTTACATGTAATATACACAATCATGATTTTAATTACTCTAAATATTAAGTATTATATAAAATATTTATACAAGGTGCAAATTCTTTTCATTTTATCCTTTTCACAGTCTATAATTGTAATGCATATATACTTGACATTTGATTAGAGTACCAGATAGCGAATTAAAATCTCGGCCAGACACAAAGGATTTTGGCCTTAAACAAATTGAAGGTACAGGTCTTTCAATGTCTGCATGTCGAGAAATTGCAGTAAGTATTAATACTATATTTTTTTTTTCTTTGTAACATGTATGTTGTGTTTAAAGTTACCAACATTACGTATAATAATATTGATCATTTCATTACAAATATTTTGATGTATTTTTTCCTTCAGTTACTTAGGGAACTGAAACATGTAAATGTAATTACATTAATTAGAGTTTTTCTATCACACATTGATCGTAAAGTGTGGTTACTATTTGACTTTGCAGAACATGATTTATGGGTATGTCTATGTTTACTAAACATATTTTATAACTGAACTTTGTAATTCAATTATTACATGAAACTTTCTAATATATAAAACATTAATGGTATTTTATTTTAAACTATAGCATATAATAAAGTTTCATAGAGCAGCAAAGGCTAATAAAAAGCCTGTTATGGTTCCAAAGGGTATGGTGAAATCTCTGTTGTATCAAATTCTTGATGGTATTCATTATTTACATTCCAATTGGGTGCTTCATAGAGATTTGGTAATTTATTATTGCATACAGATATTATGAATGCACATATAATTTTCTACAAAATTAACTTCTTATATTGCAATCTAGAAACCAGCAAATATTTTAGTAATGGGAGAAGGAAATGAAAGGGGACGTGTAAAAATTGCAGACATGGGTTTTGCTAGATTATTCAATGCTCCTTTAAAGCCCCTTGCAGATTTAGATCCAGTTGTAGTAACATTTTGGTATAGAGCACCAGAATTACTTTTAGGTGCTAGACATTATACAAAAGCTATAGGTATTTTGCACTTTCAATATATGCTTAATAATTGAAATTATACTTATATACCTTTTCATGTAAAAACAGTGAAATCAATTTTCATGTATTATTTCAGATATTTGGGCCATTGGTTGTATATTTGCAGAACTTTTAACTTCTGAACCTATATTTCACTGTAGACAAGAAGACATCAAGACTAGTAATCCATATCATCATGATCAATTAGATAGGTAAAAAAAAATTACTTGGTATATCATTATCTCTACTATACCATTAATGTAGAAGAAAAGGAATGTTAAATTTTGCTAATACTTAGGATATTCAATGTGATGGGATTTCCCTTGGAAAAGGATTGGGAAGATATTAAAAAAATGCCAGAACATCCTACATTATTGAAAGACTTTAAACGATCAAAGTTAGCATCTTTTCAAAAACAGTTATCACAAAAATTTGTTATTTAATTTTGATATTAATATAAATTCGTTTATAGTTATGCAAATTGTTCTCTCACAAAGTATATGGACCGACATAAAATTAAGCCAGATAGCAAAGCATTTAATTTGGTATGTTTAAGATAAAGTACCTTAGTCCTTTGTAATTATTTTAGTTTAACAGTAATTATTTTAATCATTTCAGCTTCAAAAGTTATTAATGATGGATCCCAATAAACGAATAACATCTGAACATTCTATGCAAGACGCTTACTTCCAAGAAGAACCATTACCAACGCAAGAGTACGTTTTTAATAACATATGTGATGTTGTTTTATCGTATGGATCGATCATGTTTAAATTTATTCGATATAATGAAATAATGTTGTAGCATATTTGCGGGTTGTCCTATTCCATATCCTAAACGAGAATTCTTAACGGACGACGATACAGAGGAAAAGACTGAAAATAAAGCACGACAAAATCAACAACAAACCGTGAGTATTTATTGATTTGTTTTGTGTAATTGATTCCCTTTTTTACGAATTCTGTGAAATTGTAGCAACAAAATCAACAGCAACAAGGAAACGGTGATCACAATCACGGGCAAAATGCAAAACGAGTAAGACTCAACGGTCCTCACGGAGCTCCAGAATTTCATCAACATCAAAGTCACGCGATGACCCATCAACAGCCTCCAGGAATGGTTTATTCTACTGCTCAACCAACGCAACCGTCAAATTTCCATCAACGTTTTTAAACAGTTCATATGACGATCGAATTCACCGATTAAACGATTAAATTATTAGTCTACCAAATTTAATTGACTTCTGTATCGATTGACAGACCAGCAGATTCCTGTATATTCACAGTACGATAATATAACTTTATTTATATATTGTGTACATGTACATGTCTTACAAAATACTTTTTATACTTTATGTGGATTTTATATTTCACAAATATCGAATTTATAACACATTTAGTGATATTACGGGAAATAATATATCGATTGCTTACCTTTAATAAGCGATATCGGTAAATTTTTAATAATTTAGCGACTGTAGATACCTTTGAGTAACTATTTGCAATTCTAAATTATCTTTATGTTATTTACATAATTTCTTATACTAATAAAAACGAACAAACGAGATATTGCCGAAGCGAAAGAAGAATAAATAATTGATAGTTAGAATTAAATTATTAAAAAGAGTTTTAAAAAAAGGCGGATGAAACGAGAAGAGAATATAAATTGGAAAGTACGTGGAGTCTTCGCACAGAGAATGACGAAGACGAGTGAAGTTGGATAGGGCAGAGGGAAAGTACGCATGCGCGGTAAATCATTCCGTAGCAAGGTGGCGGTCAGTCGCGCGCTCCTGAAACGCAGTTTCCGCGAATCGGTGCTTGACGAAAAAAGTGTGCGTGCACGGCGTGTTACCGCGATCGAGATGCCAATCAAACTACGGACCACTGATTCGCCAATCAACCTGTTGCTTAAATGAAAATAAAAGGTGAGAGAAAAGTCCTGCCTATCGAATAACTTACGCGATCTATCTATCTATCTATATCTTTTTATTATTCCTTGACTTTTAACTTTGACTCGAGACTCGAACACCTGTCAAACTTGGTCGTATTTCTTTTCTTCTTTACGAGAAGTATCACTTTAAATGAAACTCGTGTATTTGGAAACTCGCTAGTATCGGTCAGAGACGAACATTATTCTTGAATGTTACTATTTTAAAAAAATTTCTATTCCTTTAACGTGATCAGTATCACTCGCGTTATTTCAGTTTTCGAGTGAATAGTCTCGTATTGCACAATACTAAATAATCTCTTGCGTAATAAACAATAAAAATACTTAAACTCATCGCGTGACATTTTTAAATGATTAGGTATAATTTACCGATTTCTTGCATCGAGTAATATTAGATCAATATCGATATACTGTCTCTCAGCAACATCGGTGTTAATTGATATACATTGTTTCTCAAATTTTGCTCAGCGAATACAATATAAACAGTGATATTTCACCTAACTAGACGTTGCGTAATTGAAATTCATAAGATCGATATTTTTTCTTAGGCTTTACATGGAATTTCGTTCATGCTAAGAGATAGAAATTACTCGGCAAAGGATTAATGTGCTAAGATTTTGAATTTTGGTAATATCGAAAAACATCATAGATGCAGAAGTAAAAGTAAGGGGAAGGGGGGCGATCCTGACCAGTGCAATCCAACCAGTCGGGGGCCATGACCACGTTGCGACAAGGTAACCGCAATTAACTCGTATCAATGTATTAACGGAACGATTCGAAATCCTAACTGTTTCCGAGTCATTTGTAACGACAGTTATAGGAAACACGTTAGACGGTACACGGTACACGGTAGACTACTGTATACATACATATGTCTAATGCGAGATAATCGAGATACGATGGTGGTTGAACGCGATTCATCGACGATGTTCGTGTTTCTGCGTAACAGAACGCAACGGAAAAAATCCAAGGAAGGACCGGGATTACGTTTCAAGCAAGGACGTTCAGCATATCTATCTGAACTTTCACACAAAGCAAGCGTGACGAAACTAGCAATCGCGTATTCTATAAAAAAAATCAGCATGAAAGATCCTGCTCGAAACTATCGCAATGCGATATGGAAATCGAGCAATACCGAATCGAACATTTTTGGCTCCTATCTGGAGTGAAGTTAAACAAAAGCATCGACAATGAAACAACATAGAACTACGTGGGACGATTCGATAAATCGGATCGCGAAATGGTCGATATATCGATTGTATCGATGGTCGATGTGTCAAGTATTTTTCTAACGTTCATCTCGTGGAAAAAATATTTACTCGATCGCTCGTAATTGCGTCGATGGTTTCACGTAGGCGGTTGTTACGAGGCACAACTTGGTTCGAAAAGATTCGGATATACCCAAAGGCGTGAGCCTATACATGGAGATTCCGAAACACGATTTCCGTCGATACACGTCTTCTCTAAAAGAATAATTAATGGAGAAACGATTCGGAAATATCGCGCTAAGTCGTGCACGTGCGCCAGATCATACCAGTGCTGGACGATGATTTTACGATTATTCAAATAGCTCGTTCTCGTTTATGTAGTTTACGTTACATAGAGATGCATCTTTTTTTATCGAAATGTCCCCACGTTCGTCGATCTGCGAATCACCGCGTTCCGTAGATTCGAATCGCGAACATGTCGCGTTCGCGGTTCGCGGTTCGTGTTTCGCATCGAAGTCTCTTTTCGGTGACGAACGTCCGAGAAACGACATTGGCGATGGTCGAAACTTCTTTTGTCGGTAGTGAAAGACGTGGGAAGAGAGGAGAGCAGATTGTCAGTGAACACATACTTAGCTTTGCGCTCTCGTACGCGAAAGAGAACGAGAACAAGAACGAGTGACAGAGAAGAGAGGCGAGGTCAACAAGGTACCCGATATGGTATCCCACGTCCGCCGAGAGTGCTATTTCATGTATATGTATGCCTAAATATACACGATACACACATAAATTCGTACACGCGTTCGTAAGATCGTCTCTGCTTGCCTCTAGTATTAGCAATCGTCGCAATTGAATTATTAAATGCAGTTTTATATGCGACTCTATATGCCCGATCCGATCCGTCATCGTTTCGTTTCTACCGAATTCCATCGGTCTTCCTTCGAATTTGAACATTTCCTGAACGTGGTCCCTCGCGAACCGCGAATCGTTCGGTTTCACTAGAAATGTTCAGCCGCGCGTCAACGACGAGGGCGCTGTTACGTATATGCACGTCGCGACGAAATTGCTTCTACTATAAAAACACGACATACGATGGGTGTCCGGCTTTGCTTTTCGCGATATCTTCTCCTAAAAAACATTTCCAAAGCCGAGGCAACACAGTCACGAATAAAACCAGATCGGTCCGTCCGTTTCATTTTTTTGTATTTTTTTCTTTTTTTTTTCTTTTTTTTCTTCTTTCGATGGATCGGATCGCGGCCTTCCTAAGATGGCCAGTGCCACCGTAAATGCAGACACGCAAGTGCGAACTTCGAGGTCGTCGGTAGGAACGATTGCAGCAGGAAGCACCGATGACTTAGTACGGCTGCAACAAGGCGTACCAGCATGAATCACTTCTATCAACTTCTACTGCTCGCGATATATTCGGAAACGTGTTCACGAATCTCGCTCGGTTGGAAGCTGATTCCGTAATTCTTCGTTTCGTTTATTCTTCCAGTCAACTCTGTTTCCATCGCGATAGGAAACAATCGTAACGCGCTGTTCGCTTAAACGAACGATCTCTAATCGCGGTTGACTGAAAATCGGCTCATGGAAAAAACTTGCCTTCAGTTAGCTACGAAGCGATCGATGACAAACGATTTAGCCAATGTACGCTCATACGCTCATACGCACTTCTTAATCGTGGCCCTTAATAATCGAGAATCTATTTTTAAACGTGACTAGAGGTATGCGCATGCATACGGTGACGCAATCCTATGGTCTTTCCCCTATATTTCCCTCTCTC